TATCGAGAAAAATACATTGATGTCGATTGGGACAAAACGAAAAAGCGGCGTAAGGCGAGGGTGGCGTTATATCGAGTGGCGTTATAACGAGAGTAGACTGTATATGTCTTACCAAGTCGCTTTCTGTGTATCTTTCCATGTTGAATATTTTCTTTGTTATATTTGTATGTACATTTAGCGCAAGTGTCCCTAGGGAGGCATAGCGTTTTGAATTGAAATAAATAAATAATAAAAAAAAGTATGGCGGTGTTTTACAAAAATTCGAGCCTGTTTAAATACAGGTTAGCTTTTTGCCAAAATTTAATTTGCCAAAACTAGGGTTGTGACTCATTATTTATCATCGCTAGTAAAGATTTTTACTAAAGTATTGCATAGTGCCATTGTTCTGAGGTATAATTAAAGGAATCACCACAGATACGGTTAGCCACTAAAGTTGTTTTTATTTCCTGGTTCAAATTCATATTAACAGGTGCCACTCAGCAAGAGCAACCTAGTTCATGATAATTGAAACAGTGAATAATATGAGAAGGTTATTCACATATTAAACAAAACTTTAACGCGGGATTCAATCCCGGTTCATGACTGTCGGGAATCGAGCGTGTTACCCTCTCATCCATCGACTTATTGTCGGGAATCGAGCGTGTTACCCTCTCATCCACCGACTTATTGTCGGGATTCGAGCGTGTTACCCTCTCATCCACCGACTTATTGTCGGGAATCGAGCGTGTTACCCTCTCATCCACCGACTTATTGTCGGGAATCGAGCGTGTTACCCTCTCATCCACCGACTTATTGTCGGGATTCGAGCGTGTTACCCTCTCATCCACCGACTTATTGTCGGGAATCGAGCGTGTTACCCTCTCATCCACCGACATATTGTCGGGAATCGAGCGTGTTACCCTCTCATCCACCGACTTATTGTCGGGAATCGAGCGTGTTACCCTCTCATCCACCGACTTATTGTCGGGAATCGAGCGTGTTACCCTCTCATCCACCGACTTATTGTCGGGATTCGAGCGTGTTACCCTCTCATCCACCGACTTATTGTCGGGATTCGAGCGTGTTACCCTCTCATCCACCGACTTATTATGTTTTTATTTCAAAAGGTCTCTCGACTTATTTAGGCATACAATTTTTAGTTAAATGGTATTCTAACAAAAAAGAAATATAACATATTGTTTACAATAAAATATAAAATAATTTAAAAAAGAATAATCAAATATTTACATTTACAAAATGTAACTTTTATAACACACAAAGTTTAACACAGCGCCATCTAGGTGTGGCAATTGGAATTATTTAACCCTACAGTACAATTAAAAGAAGAGTTGCCTCTTTTGATATATGAAAATGATCCTCCCGTATTCTAGCCTGAATATCAGCCCTTGCTATTTCACTAGCTTAACCACCTGTTTGGTGAATTCGACCGATTTAATAAATCTTCTCGTAGGATGCTATTACATCGAAGCTACTCCTTTTCTTCGTTCAAAAATACGTGCATATCGTTAATCCGGCTAAAGTAGCATTGATAACTTTTCGCTCAGTCAATAAATAATCTTATCATTGAAGTTTATAAAATTATACAAATGAAAACACCAAAACTCGAATGTTTCTTTTCACAAATAAATCAAACTTCTACTGTCCTTACTGCGATGAAAAAATATATTGAGAGGGCTTGGCTTATCAGTGGTGAACCTTACCAGCAGTTTCGTCAATTTAATCTATCAGACCGCTTCTTTAGAGTTCTAATACTGTATTGGATCATACAATTGTTTTGCCTTCTACATGCTTCGGTAAGCATTTTAAGGCATCACTCATGATTAGGTGTCTCCAAGCGCCCGCCGCAGTGGAGGGCCAAGGAGAGGGCTGGAGAGGCGCCGGCAGAGCCGTGGGCACCCCGGGGGAGAGGAGGGCGAGTGCGCGCCGATTTTGAGGGAACCAAGGCAGCACCAAGCACAACTAAAGCGCCGCAGGCTTCAAAAATATTTAAGGGATCATTTCAGGGATCAAGATCAAGCGATCAAGACCCAGAGATCAGAAGGTCTGGCTTTTATATACTGTATTGGATCATTCTGCTTTTATATGCTACACTGAAGGATGGAATCTTAGAAATGGTATTTGAGCAAACTATGAACAAAGGCTTTTAGGATAGTAGAAATACATATAAATATTTACATCGAGCAATGCTCTTCCGCAAACAATAAGGACAAGGCCAGTTAGGCATAAATTAATACATAGCAATAACGCGCCATCTATATATAAAAAATGAAAACACCAAAACGAGAATGTTTCTTTTCTTAAGAAACTGTGAAAAGAAACATTCGCGTTTTGGTGTTTTCATTTGTATTATATATAGATGGCACGTTATTGCTTTGTGTTAATTTATAAAATTAGATTTATTTTAAAGCACATGTGCTTCTGGCCAGGATATGCCTTCTTTATTTTTAATATCAACACCTGACCTTTTTATTTATTTTTTTTCTATTATATTTTCACATGTTAAGCGTATTTACGCAAATGTGTTTGGCCTTAAATACTCATTTTTTTGGTTTCTCAAGAAGCCTCTGGGACCAAAAATCTTTTTGATCGCAGTGGTACAGCCTACTTCACGCTGACAAGCGCCAACAGCGCGAAACGCGTTCGTGGATAGCTTTTCATGATTTATCAAGAAATTGGATTGGTCAAATATCAGGGAAAAGGCTAAATCAATGCTTAGTTGATTTCTGTTCCATCAGATGGCGCTCTGCCTTCTGTAAAGCACATGTGCTCTTGGTCAGGATATGGAATTTTTATTTTTAATAAAATTATATTAAATATAATCATCGTAAAAACACACAGTAGCACATGTCTTCTTCAGTTAGATTCCGGCAACAAATAAAGTTATTGGCCATGAATGTAGCCATTTCCATAAGCCTTCTTTATCCTATCGACATACGTAACTTGCGATCTCGTTTGATTAATTTTATCTGCCTGAATGAATGACAGTCACAAGGACTTAAGTTAGGACTCTAGGCTGGATGTGGTAGAAAATCCCATTTTATACAAGTAATAGATCAATTAAAAAGGCATATATTGGATCAAAATATCATTTATTTTACCAATATTTCAGTTGGCTGAACGCCAACCTTTATCAAGGTGTTATAACATATTAATGTGTCATCAATGTTATAAATTATTGTTATAAAATAAAATGTTAGAACATCTTGATAAAGGTTGGCGTTCAGCCAACTGAAATATTGGTAAAATAAATAATATTTTGATCCAATATATGCCTTTTTAATTAAAGATTTATTTATGGATTGCTCTATTTTCAAAACAAGTAATAGTGTTGTACAAGTAATAGTTTTATACAAGTAATAATTGGCGAAACCACTGGGAGGGTTCACCACTGATGAGCCGATCCCTCCCAATACTTTTTCATCGCAGTAAAGACAGTAGCAGTTTGTTTTATGTTCAAAAGAAACATTCGTTCTTTAATGTTTGTCTTTCCTATAAATAGTTGTGTATCGTGACTGAGGTCATAGAGTGCAGTATATTTTTACATCAATTTGAATGCGCCTTACATTTATTCAAAATATTCTATGATGTTTAATATTTATTTAAAACAGAATATTTAGATTATCATCATTCCATTTTATAGTTTCATTCCATTTTTAATATATATTGTACATATATCTTGATTGGTTATTGGAGCGAGAGAGGACCTAGACGAAGACTGCGGATCACGACCTACGAGGAAGACCACGAATAAATAAACACAATAACTTTAAAAGGTAATTTATTTTTATTTACTTTTATTTATTTGCTTTGAATATGGAAACCCGCTCGGGAAACGTGTATAACACCAAGAAGGAAGAAACCAAGGTCGATGACCCTGCAAAGCTGCAACTTGGTGCAATAATATATATTCAAATTCTATTCCATGACGTTAGAAAAAAATGAAAATTAGGCCCCTTTTTTGCTTCAATTCAGATTTGCAATCTTTAAATAATATTTTTTAAATAAAAGAGTGCATAAACCTAGGGTAATTTAAAAAGTTGCCATTTAATATACTGTAATACAATATAATACGGCTTATGATTGTAAAACGATGTTTGATAAGTTTTACCGAAAATGTTTCTTTTGAACGAAAAATCGTAATTTATATCAAGGAGAAATAACGACTATTTCTATCCTTAGTGATGAAATATGAAAGGAATAATTGTGAAGAGTAATGGTAAACGGAAAAAAACCCTGGAAACTTTTATTTTTCCGTTTATCATTACTCTTCACAATTCATCCTTTTATACTTCTTCCCTAATAATAGAAATAATCATTATTTCTCCTTAAAATAAATTACAATTTTTTGTTCAAAAGAAACATTTGCGGTAAAAATAATCAAACGTCGTTTTTAATATATTGTGATATTGTAAAAGAAATTGCTACACCAATAAAGAGATGAGCTGCAGACGTGAAATTTCCACGAAGAATATGCAGGGATATGCAAATGTTATATTTTCAAAGCATTATGCAAAATGGGTGTCGGTAGCGACACTTACAATGTGTTGAAAAGAAAAGATTGTAGAATAGGTTTCTCATACTGGAATTGAATTTGAAACGTTTCTTTCTTATGAAAACTATTGTCAGATGCCTCGTGTAAGAAGGAGAAATGTTTACCAACACGTTCTGAGTTTGATGGAGGTAGAATTGTAGTCTACCAGGATTGTGGTTTATCGTACCGCAGTATTGCTATCGGTCGAGATCCCAGAACTGTTATCAGAATATAGAACGATGGTTTCAGGACAGTTATACAGAACGACGTAGTGGATCTCAGAGGCCTGCTATCAATAATAACCGAGAAGACCAACAACCTAACGGATCGTACATCCACGTCAAGATCCTCGAGTCAAGAAATGGGGTCGTTTGTAAGTCAATAAGTATCTACACGAACAGTTTGACAACCTTTGCACAGCGTGGAGAGAAGATGGAGTTGTCCACTGCGTGACCAGCGAATGCTGGAACTGCAGTTGCCTAAGTTGGGTGGACCGTACAGTACTAGCAGAAGCTAGCAGAGTTTGGACCACCGAACCCAGGGCAGAGTTCTTTTTGGACACAGGGGAAAATTGGCAACATTGATTTAATTGATTCAGTGATTTCATTGATTTAATTAATTGATTTATATATATATATATGATTCATTTTGAGCACAATAGTCATGATTAGATTTTAAATTTGGCTCTAGCTGACCCTGATCTCTACCATGTTGATGCAGCAGCGTGGACTGTCATTTCGGAGACCATGGCTTACACTTAACGCTATATCAAAGACTGAAGCGAATTCATTCATGTGATAAACGACCAATCTGGACGTAGGAATGACGTGACGTCATGTTTTCAGACGAATCCAGGTTCTTTTTGCAGCACCCTTATGGCCGCACATTTGGCGCCATCGTTGAAAAGGCACATTGCCAGCGTGTACATCGTCATACTGGCTCATTACCTGGAGTGATGATATGGGATGTCATTAGATACATATCTCGTACCTCTTGTTCGAATTCCTGGTACTTTGAACAGTGTTTGTTACATTACTGATGTTATAAAATAAATGAAGCTTCCAGGGCTAAGTTTCTTGTGCAACCTTTTATTTTTCAAGCTTTCGGACTTGTCAGTCCTTCAACAGGATTATCACGTTAACAACTTAATAATAAATACAATTTTTATATATACATTATTATTTACACATTTTAAATACATATTATATATTGAGATTATACACATTACTGATGTGTTAATAGCCCATGGCGATACCTTATACGTATTTGAGGCCTGGGAAACACTACATTTCAGCAGGATAATACATGACCACATGTTGCAGGTATTGTAAGGACATTTCTATATAACAGAAAATTTTGACTGCTGCCCTGATCAGCACGTTATCCTGATCTGTCACCAATAGAAAACGTCTGGTCAACGGTTGCCGAGAGATTGTCTCGTCACCACACTCCAGTCACTACCGTCGATGTACTGTGACATTGTGTTGAAGCTATATACCTGTACATGTCATCTAATCTCTGTTTGACTCAATGTCCAGACATATAAGTTCTGTTATTGCTGCCAGAGGTGGTTCTTCTGGGTACTAATTTCTCATCCATTCCTATAAATTTATAGGAAATTTTGACTACTTTTCATTCTCAATATAATGTATTTGTCCAATGTAGCGTTCTCACGCAATTCTGGCCTTAAATACTCGTTTCATGATTTTTCAGGATGCCTTAATGACCCTTTTTTGGTCGTTGAGGTACAGCTTGCACCACGCTGATGAGGGCGTCCGTGGTTAGCTTTTCTTGAATAATAAAGAATGGGTATTTGGCCAATTCTGGAATAATTAAAAATCAACGAGAATAGTTGATATTTATTCCGATAGATGGCGCAAGCCATCAGCAACTTTCAGTTGCACGATAAGGAGATGCCTTTTTCTTAATTTATGCACCTTATCCCAGTACAATATTACATTTGTACTATTTTTTCAAAAACATCATTTTGTTATTTGCATTCCATTCTGGTATAGCAATTGTAATGTCCAATATTGTCCATGGAAGCAATGGTCGCCTCTCCCGTCAAAATAAACGTCAGAATCTGACGCTATCTATTGACCGTCGCCGCAACTAGCGGCATCGGGTCGGTGACAAAGCCACAACACCAACTTTGGCAAACTGATAAGCGTCCACCTAAGAGACCATGGTTTCGGGCTAATGGCCCTCGTCAGTCTAGGGCGGACTTTATTCCATGAGATCCACACGGGATCTAATGGAATCCTCACAATCTGCCAAAGAGGTGTTTTGCTGGCAATGTGGCTAGGCCAATAGTGTATCAGGAACTTCTAAAGGAAGTCATGGTAAAGGTAATAAGAGAACTTATGGACGCATTGGCATTTTGGGCTCATAGGCCAGTATGTAAATAGTATTTAACAGCTTCAAGTTTGGAGATGTAAAATATGTACAGCTCGTATGTTACTTTTTAAAATAAAACAATTTTCTACTTCCCTTACTGCAATGTCAAAAATAATTGAAGGGCCTGGTTCATTAGTGGTGAACCTTCCCAGCTGTTTTACCAGTTTAATCTATCATTCCACTCTAATGTGGACTGTTTTGATTTTATATACGGTACAGAAGCTAAAGTCTTAATTTTATGACCTATGTTTATTTACAATTGTCTAACAAGGGCGTTGATAGGTAGAATTACGTCACACAATTGACATCCTAGCGAATCAGCTTTATGTAAGATGGGGCTGACATTCAATGGTGTCTTGTTTGTTTATCTTTAGTGTTAACTCAATGTTAGGCATAATCAAGATTAATAAAATAATATAAAAGCATATTGTAGTAGATTATATATTATTCTATGTAAAGATTTGTTAAATTTAGATATTTGTATTTTGAAACAATGTAAAATTTTCTCATTGCCTCTCTGCTATTAGGTTTGATTTGCCGTGTAATTCTGTGGTTTGTCTTTCCTAATTTTCTACGCTAAATATTGGTGGAGATGCTGGGTAGATTAGGGAAGACAAACCGAGAAGACCTTGATGCCATGACTACTATGATCTTCATTTTCAGAGACTGGCTTCAGGATTCCACCGCCGTTTCAAAACCAAGACATCCTTCCAAGATGAAAATGTCCCTATAGACCATATGAGGACAAAGCCGCTCTTAACGCCGCAAAAGAGATCGCAAAGCTACTAGGGACAGACGTCCAAGAATCCGAGGGAATACTTGACAGAAACAGGTCATATCCATGTCAGTTTCAAACAGATTTTCAAGCTTGTTCGGCGGTACATATCCATGTCAGTTTCAAACAGATTTTCAAGCTTGTTCGGCGGTACATATACTAAAATAGGAATAGTATAGAGAAGATTAGCATGTCCCCTGCACAACGATAACACGCAAAATCGTGAAGCGTCCATATAATGACGCTTTACACGCTTGTTCGGTGGTACATATACTAAAATTGGAATGATATAGAGAAGATTAGCATGGCTTCCGCACAAAGATAACACCCAAAATCGTGAAGCGTCCATATAATGACGCTTTACACGCTTGCTCGGTGGTACATATACTAAAATTAGAATGATATAGAGAAGATTAGCATGTCCCCTACACAACGATAACACGCAAAATCGTGAAGCGTTCCATATAAAGACGCTCTAAATACGTTCAAGATACTTCCTTGTAGCGGTCCACTAGGAATGAAGAGCTCAAGGCAGAGCTAAACATGCCCCTCAGTCGGGGGAGAAGAACAGAAATAGTTCACCTGCCGTCATCATAAATGTCTCAGTGAGAGATTCCGAGAAACCAGATAGTGTGTTGCTCAACAGGCAATGTTATATAAAACTCTATACTTACATAATAGAAAAAGCGTATATTGGATTGAATACAATATTTATATTTGCATAATAGGCGAAACACATCGGAACTAAAACTGGTAAAAATCGTTCTGAAAATAGGGCAATCCATATTTAAATCTTTAGATAATTGTTTTGTGCTTGTTTTAGAAATTAACATAAATTGTTTTAAGCAATATATATATAATTTTCCACATTTTCTAAATTCTCATCAAATTTCTCAAACGTACCTGAAGACATATTTGAAGTATAATTTTTTTCTGCCAGATCAATTTCTTTGTTCTTAAAAAAAAAATCGCTTTTCCTCGTCGCCAGTTGTTTTGCACTTGTTATTAAAGTTTAAAACACATTTTAAATTTATATATTTTATTCAATGAAGATCAAAATTACATAAACATCACAATTAATTATATGTCATAACTACATTACATTAAGCCATTTATTTTCAGTTTTGTTTTTGTCACCAGTCCAATATTTTCACAGACTAAATTATGAGATTAATTTATAAATGAAATATTATGCAAAACAAATAAACAACTATATACATCAATAATAAAAATACATATTGGATTGAATACAATATTTATTTGCCTAATAGGCGAAACACATCGGAACTAAAACTGGTAAAAAAAAATCGTTCTGAAAATAGAGAAATCTATATTTAAATCTTTAGATAATAAAAATACATATATTGGATTGAATACAATATTTATTTGCATAATAGGCGAAGCACATAGGAACCAAAACTGGTAAAAAATCGTTCTGAAAATAGAGAAATTCATGTTTAAATCTTTAGATAATAAAAAACGCATATGCAGTAGAATCTCCCTGTAAAGGACACCTAATTGCAGAGTCGAAATGTCCTTTAGAGAGAGGTGTCCTCTTACCAGAGAGTTGCTAAATACAGTTTTGTAAAATTTGTAATTTTGCAAATGAAAACTGTCCTTTGTAGAGAGGTGTCCACTAAAGGAAGGTTCTAATGTATTGAATTGAATATATATATTTAGATTGTAGAAAATAAATCTCTTATTCAAAATTCGAAACTATTTTAGACGCGTAAGATTCTTTTTGAAATTAAACAATATCTACTGTCCTTACTGCAATGGAAAAATTAATGGAAGAGCAGTAGAAATTGTTTAATTTAAAAAAGAATCTTACGCGTATAAAATAGTTTCGAATTTTGATTACAGATGGCGCGTTAGTGCATCATAATATAAATCTCTTATTCAATCCAATATATGCCTTTATATTATCTAAAGATTTGAATATAGATTGATCTATTTTTTCAGAACAATAAAAGTATATGAACAGAGAACTTAGAAAGTGATGCATGAACTGTAGCCCTGCCAACTTTCTGCATTTATCATGGAAGTAAAATGTACTTTATTATTCTTTTTTACTACTATCTCTCTCGGATAATTGAAATCGGTAAATATCTTACTTTGAGTAATTTTAAAAATTTCGAAAACTCGTAAATAAAAGTTTATATGTCTACTTCCTAAAAATATATATTTAGGTATCTGCTTAATTAGTGTTTTGGAGAATTAAAAAATAATAAAAAAATATCGTTATTCTAATATCTAATTAAATTTTAGACAAACCCATTCTTTGTTAGAATTGAAATATATATATTATATAAATAAAAAATAGATTTTCTGCTTGAATTTAGCTCATGTTGAGGATTATGGTAATGCAGTCGTG